AAAACCAAACTGATGTTTTGAAAATAATGTTAGGAATTCATGATCTGCGTATATTCTTTGTAGCAGCAATCTTTCAAAAACTTTGCTGACCCTTAGGAATAGGCTGATGGGTCGATAAGATGTTACTTTATTGGGCTCTTTTCCTGACTTGAGGATCATAATGACTTCAGCAAATTTCCATTTTTGGAAAGTATGATAAGCTTAGCATGCGGTTAAATATAACTGTTAGCAAAGTAATGGTCTTATGAGGAAGTTGTTTTAGTACTTGTGCCGAGATTAAATCATAAGCTGGGGTCTTTCGTGAGTTAAGTTTGTTTATTTCTTCCATGACATTTAGTAAAACTTTTAATTGGGAGCGACATTTGACATGCTGCGCCAATTAGTTCTTCCACTTCTTCATCAGGATCTTCTGGCTCTGTTTAAAATACGTTTGTAAGATATTCAGCAAAGACGTCCGCTTTTTCTTTGTTGGAACAGGCCCATTCGCCATTTGGTTTACGAATGGGAGGAACAGTTGTGTATGGTTTCTTAAGCTTCTTAGTAGCCTTCCATAACGTCTGGTCATTTGCAGTAAGGTTTGTAATGTAATGTTCGAAGGTTTCGTTATTTGCGGCTTTGATGGCTAGTCTGAGTTGCCTACGTAGTCTCTTGAATATATGTAGGTTTATGTTGTTTTTCAACAATGAGTTAGCGAATGTGCAGGGGAGCATTTGTGGTATATGTTGGTTTGCGCTCAATTCGTAGTGTAGATTGCCATGTGGCTTTTTGCACAAATGTGGTGAAGTATTGAGTTGCTGTATCTATGTCATGTGTAGATTTGATCGACAGATTAAGATTGGTGTTCTCTTCTAGGTAGGATTGAAAATCTGCTCAGTTGGTGTTTTTTGACGTGAGTCGAGGAGGTGATAAGCTGTTTATAACTGTAGTACTCAGGCTCATAATAACCGGTGTATGATCCGATAAGAGATCATAGCTGGATTCTATAAGACAAGTGTTTCTGAACAGTTCTTTGCTTACGAAGTCTTCTTCTTTGTCAACCATTTCCATCCACTCCTGAATGTAGGTCTCTCCCAATTGCTTCCATCTTTCTCTATCTTGAGCCAATCTAATCCACTGGTTGCCTGCCACCGCTCTTATGTCATCTACCCATCTTTTTTAAGGTCGTCAAATGCTTCTTGTTGTCGTCCTTGGTCTCCAGTCTAGAATTCTCCGTGTCCACCTGTTGTCATAATATCGGGCCACGTGACCTGCCCAGCGCCATTTCATTTTTGTAATTTCTTCCATAATATCCCTAATCTTCGTTCTACGTCTTATCTTGGTGTGTCTAATCTTGTCTCTTAGTGATATTCCAAGCATGATTCGTTCCATTGCTCTTTGCGTTGTTCCTAATTTTTTTAGCAGATTTTTTGGTAAGGGCTACTGTCTCCAAGCCGTAGGTACAAACTGGTAGTATGCATGCGTTATACACCTTTTTCTTTAAGTTTACAGAAATGTAGGTGTTTTCAAGATATAAGCTAGTTTGCCGAAAGCGCCCCATGCCAGTTGTGTTCTTCTTTTAATTTCAGCATCTTGATTTGATTTTCCTAGTTTGAAAACATGACCTAGATATACATAATGTTCAACATTTTCTATGGTATGATTTTGTATTGTTATATTTGTCTGGTCTTGGCTCAATATTTTTGTTTTGCTGTAGTTTATTTTTAAGCCTACCGCTCCTGAAACATGCATTTAATTGTTGTAACATATCATTTACTTCTTGGATATTATCTGCTATTAAAACTATGTTATCTGCGATTCGCAAGTAGTTTAAGTATGATCCGTCGACGTTGATATTCTTATTGTTCTATTCTAGTTTCTTAAAAATGTCTTCTAGAGCAAGGGTAAATAGTTTGGGAAAGATGGTGTCTCCTTGTCTTACCCCCCGTTGTAGTCTTATGGGATTAGTTTTTGTGCTTTCGTCCAGCTTTATCTGCATTTTTCTAGAGATTCAAGCACTGCCCAGACTTCAATGGAATCTTTATGGAAATCGAAGGACGCCATATGAATTGGAACATTATACTCGGTGCATTTTTCTATCAGTGTTTTTAAGGCAAGTGGTCTATGGTACTACGATGTTTTCTGAATCCAGCCTGCTTGATAGGTTGATATAAATCGAGCTTATGTGTTAGGCGGTTGGTTATGATTTGAGTTAGTAATTCATACAGATGTGCTAGCAAGAATATTGGTCGGTAATTCTCGATGTTTGCTTTGTCTCCTTTCTTGAATAGTAAAATGACTTCGGAGTTGTACCATTCTTGAGGAATCTTTCCTTCATCAATTACTTTATTAAATAAAATATTTAATACCTGTTCTATTTTTCTTCCACCAATTTTCAACATTTTAACTGTAATTTTATCCTCTCCCGGACATTTATTCGTTTTTAGTTGATTTAGGGCCATTCTTATTTCATAGTCGGTTATGTCCGGTATTTCTTCTGAGCCGGTGTTAATTATTGTTCGTTCAGTACGTCGTTGTTGTGGTTGTGTATTTACCGAGTATAATTTAATGTAGAATTTTTCAATGGCCTCGTTTATTTCCTTTCTGCCTCGGATGGTGACGTTTTTTCTCATTTTTTATTTTTATGATTTTTCTTGTGACACTTGAATTTTTTGCTTTGAGTACTTTCATATTGTAGTTATCTTGTATTATATTTTTTATTATATTGTTATTATAGTTTCTATGATCGTTCCTAATGTCTTTCTTCGCGTTTTTGTTTAAACTTTTGAAGCTGTCCGAAGTTCGATCTGTTCTGTTTCGTCTTTCTTAGAGTAGTTTAATTGTATTGGGTTGGAGTTTAGATGTTTTGGCTATTTTCGTGTTTGAGCATATTTTCTTAACCGATGTTGTTACAGTTACTTTTATGAAGTAGTTTAGCAGCTTATGAAGTAATTTAGCAGATTTCGAAGTTTTTCTGGGGTCACCCGCTCAGTACGTAGGGATTCTGTTGTTGTGGCAATCATAGTTGTTGGTCATTGCTTTTAGCAGATTACGACCTTTTGTTGTTGTGAGTCTTGAGCCCCAGTGTATGTGTTTCGCATTCCAGTCTCCCCCGGCTACGAATTTACTTGTGGGCTATACATTGCAGATATGTTAAAGTGTCATGGCGTTGCATGTACTTGAACGATTGCTGCTTGTATTTTTTCTGTTGCAAATTTCAACAATACATAATGTGATCAGCAGCTGCGGATGATTACCGCCGGCCACCATGAGCTGTACCATTGGGATGAGTTTAATATACTATTTTGACTTATAATTTGCGAGAACATGTTTTTGAACTGGTTTAGGAATGTTATTAGCTGTTGTTCTATATTAATTTTAGGTTCTAAATCGTGGTTGGTTTGATGTGCTATCACGTTTGCATATGTTGTTTGATGGTTTTTTAGAGTGGTATTTCGCTGATTTGTTTCAGTACATACATGTGGACTGTTGAATGTTGGTCTGTGAGGCCGTTGGTTTCCTCTTTTCTGTATATGTCTGTTTTCTACTAGTTTCCTGTAGACTACGCAGCCCTTATAGTTAGCAGGGTAATCTTGTTTGCATAGTGCACACTTAGCTGAAGTGCTGCTAGGTTTTTTACAATCTTTGTATTGTGCTGTTCTTCACATTTGACACAAAAATGCGGTTTAGTGTAATATGTTTTACTATGACCGGATGCTTGACATCGCATGCATTGAATGATTAAGTTTCTCTTATGTGGTGCCTCCTCTGCTATTTTAGTGTGTCATAAGAATTCTAGGTTAAATATGTCTCTATTATTACTGTTGGGTTCAAGGTTTATGAAAAACAAAGATAAGGGTTCGTTTGTTTGTCTGTGTCGAATGTTAGGTATATTGCGAACTTTGTGGCCGGCTTTTTCTAGTTCCATTGTTATATCTGTTGTGGTTATAGAGTAATAGATATATTTTATTACCACTCTATAGGCACGTTCTTCCTTTATTTTTTAAGTATGGTGAGTGATTTCTTCTTCTCGTAAATGTCTTATCAGTTTACGGTATGTATGTATTATATAATATGTTGTAATTTTGACAGTGTCGTTTGGCAGAGTTCTGGTATAGTAGGTTCTTACCTCCACAATTCGTGCAAAGTTATCGACCATATCTTTAAAATTTTCGACGCTATATACAAATATTGAAGGTAGTTTTCGGTGTTTTTTGTTTCAGCCTGTTCAGAACTCTCGGCGTTTGATAATGCACTGTATCAATTTTGTATTTTTTTTGGTAGTGAGCTTGGAGGATTAGAATCGTTATTTTGTTTTGAAAATTTACACGTTCTTTGACTATTTGCGATAAGTTTTTATTTTGGGTTTCTTGATCGTCGTCTTCGCTAGACTCTATATCCGAGTTTTCTGAATGTGTAATTGCAAGTTTTAGCTTTGAGTTTAAGGTCTGTCCTACAGTAGATGGGGTTGTAGTGGAAATTGTTGTGGTTGTAATGGAAGAGCGAATTAATTTTGTTGAATGTTTGTTATAGGAGTATTTGTGGGTTGCCAATATATGTTGTTTGGTGCATGTTCGGATGTGTATTCTAGTGGAGAATATTGTTGGGGAGTTTGGTACATGTTCCTAAATGTTTGTTAATAGTGGACCTGCTGCTAACCTGCCATTTCTGATGATACTGAAATAGACACTGATTGTTTGTGTTTCGTGTGTGTAAATTGTTCATTGTAGAAAACAGAATTTGGGACGCCACTGCTACTTTACTGTTTATTTTAATAACTAGAATTTTAATAATTAGATTTTAATTGTTCTTATCGGCGGTTACTTTTTTGCTATCGCACTCGGCGGAATACGCCCTTACTCTACGATATTCAAGTGAACTATACTATTGTAAATGAAACGAATAATGTCTTAGCATATGATATTAAGCATATACTATTTAACCAAGATTTTGCATCAAGTCATATTGTTACATATTAATTTTTAATTTGTTGTCAATTCAATAATAAAAACTTTATATTTTAGCCATAATTTCAACCCAAAAAATGGTTTTTCAAATTGCAGGCAAAGTTTCCCTTATCACAGGAGGAGCGTCTGGACTTGGATTACATTTTGCAAAATCGTTGCTTTCAAAGGGAGTAAAGGTATAAATATAAATATATAAAATATTTATATATATATATATATATATATATATATATATATATATATATATATATATAGTTAATACTATACTATCATAATAATATATATTAATACAATTTAAGTTTAAATTACTTTTTTTTTGACGTTTCTATTTCGACTTTGGAAATTATTCTCAAAATAAAAATTACACGATTTATTTTGTTTTGTTACTTAGTAATACAAAATATTTATTTTGACAATTCAGACATATTATCTACATTCTAAAGTAAATAAATTTAAAATTATATTGTTAATATCCACAAGGAAAATTAGTTTCTGCAGCTTGCTCTATACCATGTATCACAAAAATGTATTTAAAATCCTTTATAAAAGGTAAAATCATTAAAACACCCAATCTGGTTATATCACAAAACGTTTTCGGAATCTATATTACATCATCAGTGTGTCCTAAAAGTATATAACCACTTTAATTAAAAAGAACGTGAAGTTTAAAATTTTGACCAAGGTTAATACAAAATGTGGTTAATACTTACTAGGTTTACATGTTTTGTGCCATTAATAATTGGGTAAAAACCCGTTGAATGTTATTAATTTAAATTTAGGTTACATTATTTGATCTTATATGTTAAGATGTTAAAGTTACTAGTGGAATTAATAACATGGCAACGTAAGACTCTACATGAGGTTGCTGGTCCTGAGACAAAGTGTGTACAAGGACTTGTTGATAGCAACTGATTGAAATGTCAATATTGACTTGTTAGGACGGAAGTCGGAACAAAGCAGTCAGTGTAACTTAGGGTATTTGTCTAAGTATTGTAACATTTTGTTTATTAATATATTAAATTATTTTTAATTCCTTTTACCCATGTGGATGATATGCTGATGGTCGTGTTTACGATCAAAAATTTTTAATGGGAAACTATCAAAGTATGACTGAAGAATTTACCTACCTATTTATTTAAAGACGCCGGTTTAGCTAATTCTTAGTTAATCCTTTTCCGGGTTCTTTTACATAAATTTGGTAATTGTCGTCGAACGCCCGTTGTAATGTTTTTCGGGAAAAACCTAATCTAGAAGAGTTATATTTCATCACGTTTGTAGCTAGAAGGCTACCATTATGTTCGATGTTAGTTAGAACTTTTTACCTTCTCAGAAATACATACAACTGTTCGATGATATTTAAGTGGGAGATATCCCTTCTTCCTTTTCTGTAGTTGGGTAAATTTTTGCAAGAAAGATATACTTCTGGTGGGACAGTCTTTGCTTAAGGACTAGATCTTACTGTATCTCTATTATCGTACCGTTCTCTGTGCATTTTTCTTTATAAGTGTGTATATACTTGTATATTTAAGTTTTTTTGATCCTATACTACATTAGATTAAATATAGTTATAAAGTACCTTTAATGTTAATTAAATTCAGTGTTTGATACAAGTAAAGTATTAGTACAGTATATAGCTTCAGTGAAGTACCTAGTGCAGCAACCATCAGGAATTACTGTAAGTTACCATAATCTTAGTATCTCCACTTATCTGGGCGAGTAATATGGTATGGTATCATATCATCTTCCATTATCTGGACGTATCTAAAGTTTATCCATGTCTTCAAATGTAGTCGAGAGTAACTACTGAATTTTGAATTTAATTTAAGGAACAGTCAATATTTTGTTACGAACCAAATTCCATCAGCTAGTAAGAAATTTCAATAAGTAATAATTATGAACATTTAAGTCTCAGTTTATCATTAAATAATAGTGCGAGATATCTAATCGACTTAACCAAGTGCGGTTTAGTTAAATTTTTATTTTTTCATTTCTGTAACCTTTTTGTATTTTTGTAAAGTTATATTTTATTAATTTTTGTTATCTTTTGTGTTTGTTATAATTTTTATTCATTTTTTTGCTGTAATATCTCGAGATACACCAAAACTTTATTTGTGCATGATTGTATTATATATTTTTATAAAGTTATTTTCTAATTATATTACTGCTTATTTTTATATGTATACCACCATTTCATAGTTGTTGGTGTATTTTTATTACTTGTGTTTCATTCAGCAGCGTCATAATTTTGTCGTTGAATATATTGTTATTGTTTTATGTATGTATTTTATTTGTCGACTATATCTTTGACCAGTAGAAAGATTAGACTGATTAAGTTTCGTAGGCAAGTAAGGGCAATACCTAATATATTTATTATTTGTTTATATAATGTATTGACCAAATTCATTTAATAATTAACTGTTGGTATCTTTCCTTGGGTTTGATCTCTGAACCTAAAGCTTCTTAATTTGCTCCTTAACCCCAAAAAATTGAGTGGCGCCCTGTTTCTATCTTATCCTATCTTTGGTAATTTTACCCATCTATTTTTTTTTCTTTATTTCTGTATCTTTTCTAATATATCTTATCTTGTTCTATCTTTACTTATTTTGTTCGTTGGACTCATTCCCGGTTTCAAAAGCTAGTTTCGAACCCACGACTCGCTCTCCACCAACTATCTGGCTGCCGTCCTCAGTGTCTCTATTGGTGACCTTTCTAGCACAATCCAAAAAAGGTTTCCGAGGTTACAGTATGACAGAAGCCAGCAATATTAAAACTTATTCAATTTTTAAATATTGCTGGCTTCTGTCATATTTAGAGAAATACCTTGCACTGACTGCTTTGATCCGACTTCCATTCTAACATTGTCATCTTTGTCAATATTGTCATTTTATTCAGTTGCTATCAACAAGTCCTCATAGACACTTTGTCTCAGGACCAGCAACCTCATGTTAAGTCGTACGTTGCTATGTTATTAATTGCACTGGTAATTCTAACATCTTAACATATAAGATCGAATAATGTAACCTAAATTTAAATTATTAACATTTAACGGGGTTTCACCCAAATATTTAATGGCCGAAAACATGTACACCTAGTAAGTACCACATTTTGTATTTACCTGTGTCAAAATTTTAAACTTCACGTTCTTTTTAATCAAAGTGGTTATATACTTTTAGGACACACTGATGATGGAATATAGATTCTGAAAACGTTTTGTGATATAACCCAATTGGGCATTTTAATTATACACCTTTTATAAAGGATTTTAAATAAATTTTTGATATTGTCAATATTTTTGAGTTACGTTCCTGGGGCAACTTTATTGAAAGATTGTTCATTCCATTACATGAAACTAACTTTTACTTAAGAATAACAGTCAGAAAAATCATGGTGAATAAACTGTCTATAAAATACAACCACACTAATCATGGCAGAAAAATCCTCTAGTTATTACTTGCATTGTAAATCATGAGGAAAAACTGGGGAAAAAAACTCATAATACTATTGCGACATGATATGTATTCGATTTCACGTTGTGTTTACTCTCAATATTAATATCAAGCTCGAACTTTATATTTATGTTAAACATTAAATGATACATTAATACATTTTTCGAGAGGACACTCGGATCAAAAGATATCGAATTTTTACCGTCGAGCTGATACAATTTTTATTGAGCATTGATTTCTCACACGGTAACTAACATTAAAAATTTCCGATCGTTTCAAGCGTTGTTTCTGAAAGAACGGGTCATTCTAAACGAAAAATGCTAGTTTTGTTCAAAATTATATTATTAGCTACATTTTTTATTTGAAATATTTTTATGTCCTATAGATTTTACCAATAATCTAAAAACGTATGATTTTTAGAGGTTCAGTGGCATTTTCGTTTCTAACGACTGGAGTCTAAGCTTATTGTAAATCGAACATTTATTGTATTTTAAAGTTTTTATCGTTTTAGGGAGTGACGTTGGCAGACATTAATGAACGTGATGGCAAAAATGTAGCTGAAGAACTTAACAAACAATTTGGAAAGAATAAAGCAATTTTTGTAAAGACTGATGTCACAGATTATTCAAATTATGAAGGTAAAATTGTTGAATTATTTATAGTCTAGGCGAGATCTGTTTTGGATTTGACATTTTCCATAGGAAGCTATTTTTTACTGGAATTCCTTCAGGATGTGCCCAATATCGATAATCACGATATGCGCCAGTCGCAAATCGTGTGCTAATTTTTTTATTTAACAAAATCTGGAAACAATTAAAAATTTCTCATTTTTTTGCTACTATTTTCGTTTATAATTCGGAAAATATTGATCCTAGAGAAAAAATTATAAAAAGGTAAAAGTTTCGTTATTCAATTTTATATAATATTTCGTTAGCTAGAAATTAAAAATTTAAATTTCGTTTGCTAAATTTTGTTAAGATCGGTCGGATAGGTTTTGCATAATAATTTTACAATCCAGCTTACTGGAACGAAAAAATGTTTATTGTTGAAAAAAATAGCAATAATTGGAAAAAAAGTACAAAAAAATTAAGTTAATCGTTTAAATGTTTTCGACTTTCTAAACTTGACTTACAAGCTCCTTAGTCGGCCTAGAAAAGCTTTTTAATATGTTTAAAACGTGTACTAAATTTTGTTAAGATCGGTCGGGTAGGTTTTGCATAATAATTTTGCAATCCAGCCTACTGGAAAAAAATCACAAATTTTTAGGCTCAAACTTTTAAACGCTTTTTGTAAAATTCAAATCGGTTCACTAGGAGAGTGACTAGGAGAGAAAATTTGTTAAAGTTTTAAACATTTTTTAGGCTTATAAACAAATTGAATAACTTTACGAGCTTTAAAACATATCAATTTCAAAATTTATACACTTAACGAACATTAAAAGACGCTTCTTAAAAAAAAAGATACATTCCGCTTACTGGTTTCCGAGATATTAAAAGTCAAAGTTGGCATACATTTGCCTTGTAACCATAAGTGATAGAGGGCTCGTTTTTAAACAAATACCCCCGTCTTGTCAAGTACTTTTTATAAGAAAAGTTTTACGTAATACGCTTCATGCCAACATACATAAAAAAGACAAATAAAAAGTAACTTGTAACGCTGATTCACAAGAGAATTGTTTTCGAAAACCTTATTGATTATTAATTAAAATTTTATTAGGTTAAGAAATAATAGATAAGACTTACTCACAATCAATTTAATTTAACTATTAGGACTACCGGTTTCGCTTTCTACAATATGCAAAGCATCTTCAGGTCTCGATACAAAGTTAAATAAATGCTGAAATGATAAAAACCCATATAAGGGTGTTGTCTGATAAAGATAAACAAATTAGATGTTATAAATTACAATAATTAGGCCAATATTACATGTCTGTGGTTTATTTTAAAATGAATAAAAAGGTATAAAAAGTTTAAACAGACAAGGTAAGACCCACAAATTGTCATAAAATACAATGTCTATTAGATTGTAATAAATTGATAAATGAGCAAATAAATAAACATTACTTACATGCCAGCACTCTATTAGTTGATGGATGATAGAACATGGTTGAAACTATCATGTATTGTTGAATGGAGACATTCTCACAATTTTTTCACCATAAAAATTACTAGCCAACAAGTAAATATTAAAATCATTAACTAACACACAACGGTAGTTCGTAGTAAATCACATATTTCTTTCAAATCTTCAATAAATTGAGCATCATAACTGGATGGTGAATGATATAAACACCTCACCAAGTAGACCATGGATTTAACATCAACTTTTATTATTTTGCACCAATAATTATTATTCAATTGAAATGTTTTAAAATTTGAAAAATTATAATGTTTGCTTATAGCATAACACCTCCAGTGTATCTACTCGTTGAGTCACAACGAATATGACACTAATTTTCAAGTTTCAGTTCAATATCTTCAATATCTGATGTCGTCCTAGTTTCACTCAATAAAATTATTTTGGGGTTATAGCAAGTTATGGATTCTTGGATTTGGTCTCTATTTTTTACTATGCTTTGGGCGTTGAGATAAATTATAACCGGAATTGAAAGGTATATTAGGGTTTACAAAATGTTTTTTTAATGGATTTTGAAACAATAGTTGGTTTATTATTTATATAAAATACGCAAATCTACTACTGTTTACTATTTAAAAAGAGTGCGTATACCTATTATTAGTATGTATATGTATAAAAATAAAAATAAATATTTCGCCTGAATCCCCAGGAAAAGTAAAGGTTTTACGTTACTGACAATATATTTTTTATTTAATTATAACCAAACATAACTTTAAAAAAAAAATCGATAATTTTTTGACAGTAATTTCAAAATTAATGTGTACGTTAAGCTGTAATAATGGGTTCGAGCGGACTACGTCACACCCTGGGCCAGCTGTCAAATGTTATGCGCAATATCATACCAAAAGGCGGAAAGGAAAGCAAGATAGACACCAGAAAATACTTGGCAATATTTTTTAAGAGTAGAGTGCACGATGACCTTGAGGAAAAAGATACGAAAAATGACTGGTAAGAAACCAACAGTAAAATTGTTGTGCGAATAGGAGAGGAAGTGCTAGGAAAAACATCTGGCAAAGGGCCTCATAGAGACATAGAAACTTGGTGATGGAACGATTAGGTGCAATAGAAGGTTACAGAGAAGAAACAAGCTAAAAGTATGACAGGTCTAAAAGATAGGGAGATAAGGATAAATACAAGGTGGCAAAAAGGAAAGCTAAGCGCACTGTAGCTACTGCTAGGCAAAGATCGTCTGCACAGCTATATGAAGAGTTAAAAACACCAGAGGGGTGAAAAGGGTGTACAACATTACTAAACAGAAGAAAAGTCATTAAAGGACTTGACCCAGGTGACTCAGATTAAGAGTGCTAATGGAAGAGTGTTAAGAACCAATGTTGAAATAAAGCAAAGATGGTACGAGTACTTAAATAAATTGGTCAATGAAGAACACCAGAGGAGAGAACAGGGATGCGGGATCCCAAATGAGAATTTAAAAACGGGGATACCGAGAGATAAAGTCAAGGCATTAAATAGGACAAGGAACGGTTAGGCAGTAGTATCTAATAGAATACTTATGAAGGGAAGGCTCTAGGAGATGCAGGAGTTGATATTTTGTGGCAGAAGATATGTAGGATATATGACCAAGAAAGGATGCTCAATTCATGTAGAGAAAGTGTGATGGTATCGTCGTTTAAAGATAAAGGGGACATTCAGGACTATAAGACCTATAGAGGGACAAATTTAATGTCGAAAACAATGAAAATTTGAAACAGAACTGTAGAGCAATATAAATATGTCAAAGATATAGTATCTTAAAATAGGAGATGATCAAGAAGATCCAGAGTTAGAAATTAGAAAAACACAAACATGTATTAAATTTAAATATCTCGAATCTATAATATCTAAAGAAGGCACAACCAAAAGAGACATCGAAAACAGGAAGCAGCAGGGAAAAAAAGCGGTAAACATTCTAAACTCTCTACTATGGTCTAAAGATATTAGATGAGAAACGAAATTGACAATCTATCGAACCTTGGTAGAGCCTATTATGACTTATGGGGCAGAAGTTTGGCATATCACGAAAAAAGGTAGAAAAAGAATAGAAATAGTAAAAATTGATTTTCTAAGGACAGCGTGTGGTGTATCCAAAAAAGATCATATTAGAAATGAAGATATTAGATGGAGGACAAATACTGTATATTGCAGTGTAGACAGAAATAAAACGAGACAACTATACTGGTATGGTCACGTGAAACGAATGAATGAAGATATATGGCCAAAAAAAGCTTTAAATTACATACCACAAAAAAGAAGAAGAGGGGGAAGGCCTTTAGTTGCCTGGGAATAAAATGTATGACACATAATAAGAGATAAAGCCATCAAAGAAGACGAATGGATGGACAGAAGACGATGGCGGTCGAAAAATCGAGGAAAGGTTAAAAGAAAAGGTATACAAGAGTGTAGGTAGACCTGCGTTGGTGTACGACGGTAAAGTGTGACATGTAAAAAAAGATCCAGGGAAAGAAAATAAAGGTTGCTGAAATTAAAATGTTACGGTGGATGTTGGGTAAAAGATTAAAGAACAAAGACTGCAATGATTTGGCCATGTCAGACGTACAGACGAAATCTATGTGGGACGAAGGATAGAGCTAATAAAAGTTGATAGAAAAAGAGGTAAAGAAATCCGAGAAGATAAAAGGACTGTGTAACAGAGGACTTAAGAGAGAAAAGTTTAGGTGAAGAAGACCCGATTGACAGAAATGAGTCGCGACGAAGAGTAAGGAACAGTGACCCTAAAAAGAAAAAGGCCGAGGAAGAAGAAGAAGTGGATGGAGTTTTCTCTTGCCCCTACCTGAAAGAATCCGCATTGTTTTTGGGGAATTTGTGGTAAGAGGATTAATTTTAGTCGTTCATTGATGATGGCGAGTAGTACTTTTTTACATGGGATATTATTGCTACTGTACGGTAATTGTTAAAATCGGTCGGTTAAGCTTTCTTGTACAGGGTGAGTCATGAGGAACTTTACATACTTCTACCATATGCAGAGTCCCTCAGGGAGCATATCATGTGGCCACTAAAAAATGTCAACTCCTCTTCTTTATTAATTAACAGGGTGATTTGTGTAATTGACCATTTATTTCATTTTACTGTAGTGTTTATACGGCTCATTTGATTTTTTAATTTTTGCATGATACAGTACACTACTATCAAGCATTCGACTGGTATTAGCTAAACTAAAAAATTCCAGGACTGGCTTTGGAAAAATTAATTTAGGGATTCGTATTAAATATTACACCCTGTATATATATATTTTTTAAATGCAATAAGTGATTTTCAAACTACATAAATAGCCAATGAAAACGACATATGCGACAATGTTGTCGCACTTTTATTAAATTTTTAGTGAACGATCAAATCTTACCAAAAATAGAACAACCATAATAAAGTATCAAATTATAAGGTATTAATTTAAACAAATGTTATAAATTTCCAACATTTTAATTAAAATGAGTTCCTACAACATAATCTAATACGTAAAAAATTAACATCTTTACTGTCACTTTGTATTATCTCTACGATAGAATCAATTGTTTTTCAATTTTAAATTCTTACTCATAGATCGTATTGGGGCATTATTTTCGATAAATAATAAATTAAATTGATTAAAAAGTCAAACCTCTTGTATGTGTTAGTTTTTGTTGATTGTAAATGATTAAAATTTTATGTCAAATAATAATACATTGCATCAACTGTACTAAATAAAAATAAATCTAAAAAAGTTTAAAATGAAGGTTGGCGTTGACCGTTTGACGTTTCTTGATATTTTATACCCATTGTCATTATTGTCATTATCAATTGTTATTTATGTGTACAAGAATACATATTTCTTCTGTCATATCTACGTTAAGTACATTGTGTTAGTTTTGGTAGAGCTTTTGTTACTTTCGTTCAAAATGCCACATCAGTTTTCGACCACAGAATATGCAGACATAATATTTGTTTATGGATTCTGTAATGGGAATGGTAGGGCTCTGCTAGTAGAGAATATCGCAGGAGATTTCCTAATCGTCGAACTCCCAGTCATCCAACATTTGGGTCAGTTTTTAATTATTTGCGAGAAAATGGCACTTTTCCTAGTGAAACAACAGAGCGACATGTAGATGAAACGCAGGAAGATGACATTATGGACGCCGTTACTATGAGACCCTACAATAAGCACTAGACAAGTAAGTCGAGAACTCAATGTTACTCAATCAAAAGTAAGTAGAGTCTTACAAAAAAATAATCTATACCCATATCACATTCAAATGGTTCAGCGACTACATGCTGCAGATGAGATCGATAGGTTGGAATTTTGTAGATGGATTAACAATAATCGACCAACGCTATACAGGACACTATTTACAGATGAAGCCCAATTTACCAGAGACGGGATAAATAATTCACGAAATTCACATGTGTGGGCAGAAGAAAATCCCCATGCTATTCGAGAACGTCGTTCTCAGTTAAGGTTTTCGGTTAACGTGTGGATTGGTGTCATAAATAACCAATTAGTAGGTCCTTACTTTTTTGATGGTCCTTTAACAGGGCAGGTCTATTTGAACTTTCTACAAAATATTTTGTCGAATTTGCTTGCCAACGCGAACGTTGCTATCCGAGGGATGTATTTTCAGCATGATGGAGCACCCCCGCACTTTTTACTGGCAGTGAGACAACATCTCAATAATGTTTATGGCAACAGGTGGATAGGACGTGCAGGTCCTATTTCGTGGCCTTCAAGATCCCCTGATTTCAATCCCGTTGATTACCATATTTGGGGATGATTGAAGCAACTAGTTTACGTAGTGAATATTAATAACCGACAACAATTAATTGATAGAATTATACATTGTTGTAATACTATTAGAAACGATCCCCAGAGTATCCGTAGTTCAATACGTCAATTAACAATTCGGCAACAAAAATGTGTACAGGCTGCAGGGTTCCATTTCGAAAATCGATTTTGAATTATTTTTATTTTGTTACCATTATTGTATCTTTTCCAGTTCTAATTTATGGGTTTATCATAACTATGTATATATTTTTAGTTTTTTTTTAATTGTTCTTCCTTATTGTTAGTAGTTACTGTTTTTTGTTGTGCAGTGACTCAGTTTATCATTTCAATTAAAATGTTTGCAATTTATAACATTTGTTTAAATTAATTACCTTATAATTTGATACTTCATTATGGTTGTTCTATTTTTGGTAAGATTTGATCGTTCACTAAAAATTTAATAAAAGTGCGACAACATTGTCGCATATGTCGTTTTCATTGGCTATTTATGTAGTTTGAAAATCACTTATTGCATTTAAAAAAAATATATATACAGGGTGTAATATTTAATACGAATCCCTAAATTAATTTTTCCAAAGCCAGTCCTGGAATTTTTTAGTTTAGCTAATACCAGTCGAATGCTTGATAGTAGTGTACTGTATCATGCAAAAATTAAAAAAATCAAATGAGCCGTATAAACACTACAGTAAAATGAAATAAATGGTCAATTACACAAATCACCCTGTTAATTAATAAAGAAGAGAAGTTGACATTTTTTAGTGGCCACATGATATGCTCCCTGAGGGACTCTACATATGGTAGAAGTATGTAAAGTTCCTCATGACTCACCCTGTATATGGGAACAAAGGTGAACACACCTTAGTCATTTGACCAATTTCCAATGTTCCATATGTAATTGCGGATTCTAAGCCATACTTCAATCCCTGCCTCTCCATTTCTTCAAGTGTCTCTGTCAAGCTGTTATTCCATCTTCGCTCTCTGCTTTTCAGAATTTTAGCTTTTTTATCGCCATATCAATTTTTTATTTTAATGTTTGTTGTTCTTTTTCACTCTTCCAAATTTCTCTCCTCAGAGTCGTAGTTAGGTAAAAGTATTTCGCAGTACTGTTTCCATATCGCTGCGATACTTTCTAGATGTTTTACGGTATCTCCACTATATGTTTGATGATCTTTATATTATGTAATTTCAATTTTCGAGCTAGATATTTAACTTTTGAGGAAACGTTTTCTAGATTCTTGGCGGCCAGTATGTTCTTCTGGTTGTGCATATGTTTTGATTATAAATATGTTTGCTTGTATGCACAATTGTTTTAGAGTTAAATTTATGGTGTCAATTTTTAAAATCTTTTTGTATTAAATATGCCGCTCTGATGTGCCGGTTTTAAGTTTTCGCTTTTATTCTACAAGGTTGAGAGGCTTCAGTCTTAAAATGTTTTTCCTTTTCTATTTTTTCTTTGGAGCTTTATTGTTTATGGTTATAAAATTACTTAATAATAAACGGTTATTTTTTTAGATGCATTTAAAACAACAGTGGACAATTTTGGAAATATTGACATTCTTATGAATAATGCTGGTCTAGCAGCTGATGGCGCTTTTAAAAAGTCAGTCGACGTTAATGTTGTAAGTATTAAAAGAAATGTTAATTTTAACGCTTTACTTAATGCTTTGTAGATAGTCATTAGTTCTGGAACTTTTTCTACATTCTGCCCTTCTATTAGGGATTTTATGCTTTGTAGATAGTCATTAGTACCGGAAATTTTTCGGAATTCTGCCTATTCTCTTGTTTGATGTCTCTATTTTTTTCCATTCTTATCACTATTATTCACGTAAACAACTTTTATGTATGGCTGAAGATACTAATCGGTCTGTAATTCTCTAAATTTGCTTTATCTCTTGCTCTATGTAATCGAATCATAGTAGCGTTGTTCTAGTTTTGAATATTGACGTTATGAAGGCAGATATTGAAAAACGGTTTAATTTTTTCAATAGATTACTATTCCATCTTCGCTTGGGGTTCTATTATTTTTCATTCGGGCATTCATATCGGGCATTCAATTTGATCCTTGGTTTAGTACCCCAGTTTTTACTGTAATTGAAAATTTCGTATTGTTATCTTCTTCTCTAGATGTATATAGCTCTGTGTAGAACTCTTCAACTATTATTAATATTTAACCTCTGTTAGTAGTTTCTCCTCAAGCTTTTTTTCTAATTTGTTAATTTCTCTTTTTCTCTTTTGCAGTCTTATTTTCAAAACTTTCTTGTCATTATTTTGCTGTATTGCTTGTTTAGTTATTTCTAATTTGTAGTGTCTTATTTATTGTCTTTGTAATTGTATTATTTATTTTATTTAGCGCTTCCTTGCTCATACCATTATCTTCTTTCATCTCTTGCCTATAGAGGGTTTTCCTAAGTTAACCTAGATTTTCATCCTTTTTGTTTGTTGGACAATATTTAGTTTGAGCCTGTTGCATTGTGTTGAATATTTGTTTGTTCAATATATTGATGTCTGTTGTTGAGTCTTTCAATAAATTATTAATATATTTTTTAAACTTTCAAATATTAGATGGTTTTGTCCATTTCTTTGGTTTTTTCTTATCTATCATTTTGAGTCTTTCGTTTTCGGACAATATCATTATTTTCGATCTTTCGCTCTTTTCTAATCTTCACATACTCGCCGGGAATTCCTTTGCTATTGAACGCTTACCACAGCATCACTCAAAATTCTGTTTCATATTTTTCTCAAGATCGGCGAATAGTATGTTTTTCCCTATTCCTGTAACATCAGCTGCCATATAATGAAATCTGTATCTGTTTTTTATCTGCCTTGCATAAATCCAAACTGATTTTTGGATATTTTGATTTCTTTACGTACTGGTCATTCAATTCATCATCATCATTCAGCCCATACTCTTCCACTGCTGAACATAGGCCTCCCGTAGTTTACCCCACAAATTTCTGTCCTGAGCCGCCTGCATCCAATTTTGATGTGTCCTTTTCAGGTCATACGTCCATCTTGTTGGTGGTCGTCCTCTATTCCTAAAGGCATCTTGTCTGGGTCTCCACTCAAGAATGCGTTTTGTCCATCTGCCGTCCTTCGTTCTCGCGACGTGCCCTGCCCAATTCCATTTTAAGGTTGATATTCTTTTGATTGCGTCGGTTACTCCCGATCTACGGCGCAATTCTGTGTTGGGTATTCGGTCTCTCAGAGTTAATCCCAACATGGACCGTTCCATTGCCCTCTGTGTTGTTCGAATTTTATTTGCGGACGTCTTAGTAAGTGTTAGAGTCTCCGCACCATAGGTTAGAACCGGCAGCACACATTGATCGAAGACTTTTCTCTTCAAGCAGATGGGAAGAGCTGATTGGAAAACATCTCTTAGCTTTCCATAAGCTGCCCATGTCAATCCTGTTCTACGTATTAGTTCATTGGTCTGGTTATCTCTACTTAAACGAATTTCGTGTCCCAGATATTTGTATGCTGATGTTTGTTCTATACTTGTTCTAGCTATGTGGATGTTCTCACTCAGAACAAGGTTTGTCATCACTTGTGTTTTTGAGTTATTGACCTTTAAACCCACTTGTGTAGAGGCATGGTAGAGTCTTTCGCACATTTCGATGGCATGATCTATGCGGTCTGTTATCAGGACTATATCGTCCGCGAACCTGAGGTGACTAAGCTGCTCTCCATTTATGTTTATGCCCTTTTCGTCTAGGTTTGCACGCTTACACATGTATTCCAATAATGTTGTAAACAGTTTTGGTGAAATGGTGTCGCCCTGGCGAACTCCACGATGAATGTTGAACTTGTGTGTATCTTCATGGAGTCTGACGCATGCCGTGGAATTATCATAGATATTTTTGATGACAGTGGTGTAGCGGTGATCTATTTGGCACTCTTTTAAAGCTTCTAGCATTTTCTGGTGGTTTATTGTGTCGAATGCTTTCTCATAATCCACAAATATTAGGACGAGGGCTTTATTGTACGATGAGGCTTTTAATAACTTGTAGATGGTCGTTTGTGCCGAAGCCTGACCTGAATCCTGTTATTCAATTCATCATTCAATTACTCTCTTCAATATTTTCATAGTAGTTTAGACGCGGTCTATCAAAAAACAGACTCTAATGGACATTTTACATACAAGTTTATTTTTTTGCTGGAATCACTGTAGGATGTACCTTGTACAAAATCTGCAAAGAATCGAAAATTTTTCTTTTTGCTCCCATATTTTTGCCTATAACTGGAAATATTTTGCCTCAACAAATAACATTCGGCAAAGTAAAAGTTTAGATTTTTACTTTTACCTAACATTTAATTAATTAAAAGTTAAGAATTTATTGTTACTAGCAATAATTGGAAAAAAAGTGCAAAAAATAGAAGTTCTCCTTTAAATTTTTTCGAACCCTTGAACATGACTTGGAGCTTTTATATTTAATTTTATAAAACTTTACAGTATTTCTGAAATATGTACTAAATTTCGTTTGAATTGGTTTAATAGTTTTTGCACAATAATTTTTCAATACGCAAGGCACGCAAAAAAAAACCTGCAAATTTGCAAAATTATGCTTGGCTCAAAATAAGCAATTTATATTGCTGTAATTTTTCCAAATAAAAAGAAAAGCTCAAGGTTTCAAACACACTTTGGAAAACTGAAATCAATTGTTTCAAATTTTACGTCAATTTCAAATAAAACTAACCTTAAAACTAATTTAATTAAACATTTTTCAATATCTGCCTTCACAACGGCAATACTCCAATAGACTGAATCAACGCAACTATGATTCGATTACATAAAACATGAGATAAAGCAAATTTAGAGAATTACAGACCGATTAGCATCCTTAGCCATACATAAAAGTTGTTTACGCTAATAATAGTTACAAGAATGGAAAAACATAAGAGACATCAACCAAGAGAATAAGCAGAATTCCGAAAAATTTCCTGAACTAATTGCAATCGCATAAAAATAGAGCGGGGAGTTAAGAATACCCAACGTCACCTAAACTTGTTAATACTGTACTGGAACATGCTTTTAAGAAGTTGGATTGGCTGATAAAGGAAATAAAAATAGATGGAGAATATCTAAATAACTTTGCTTCGTCGAATATATAGTCATAATAACTTGGGAATTGATAATGGCAAGAGAGATGGTACAGGAACTCGTTGTGACTACAAAAAATTAGGTTTAATTTTAAACATCTCTAAAAAAAATAATGTCAAATTTGGTAATCAACCAGAATATCAGTAATTGTGGCAAAGGGATAGAACACAGAATATAAATACCTAGGACATAAAATTATAATAGTCAGGGATAATCAGACCCATGAATTGAAGAGAAGAATCGCTCTTGGGTGCGCAGGATGTAAAAAACTGAGACAAACTTTTAAAAGTAAGCTGACCACATGCCTAAAGAGAAAAGTATTTGATCAATACGTCCTTCCAGTGTTGGCATACGGAGCAAAAACATTTAATTTAACAAAAGCCTCGGCTACCAAACTAAGAGTCACATACAAAAGAATGGGGCAATCCAGGTTAGGACTAACTCTGAGAAACCAAAATAAAAAAAGGAGTCAGGAGAAGAACCAAGGGGACTAACGTCATCGAAAGGATAGCCTGACTAAAATGGAAATGAGCAGAACACATGGCTTGAAATACGGATGGGCGATGGACAAAGAGACAATGACCTATCTGCCCTACTGGTACTACCTAATAATAGGAAATACTAAAAGGAATTCGGAATAAAAACAAGAACAAGAAAACAAGAATAGGTTTAAAATTCTGTTTAAGTAGAACAAAAACAGAGTATTTGGAATGTTTATTTAAAGATGAAGTTACTAAAAATATAATAATAAATTGGGATAGTTAAAGCATTATGAAATTCATGGAAATCTTGGAAATCATTAATAATTACCCCTATCTATCTATCTAATTAGCCTTCCTCGGTCCATCTTTGGACATAGGCCTCCCCAATCTCTTTCCATTCTTCTCTGTCTGTCGCTACAGTCATCCATCTAGAGCCCACGTGCTTCTTGATATCATCTGCCCATCTCATTTGGGGCCTTCCTCTGCTTCGTTTATATTTCCACGGTCTCCAACTTATAAGAATTTTGTTCTATCGGTCTTCTTTTTGTCTTATATTGTGTCCGGCAAATCTTCATTTCAATTTTGCAACTTCTTGTCTAGCATCCCTTACTTTTGTTTTCTTTCTTATCCACTCGTTTCTCTTCTTATCCATTCGTCTTATGTGCAACATTTGTATTTCCATTGCTCTTTGGGTTTTTATGATTTTGTCCATGTTTGCTTTTGTAGATGTCCACGTTTGGGAACCATAAGAAAGAACAGGGAGTACGCATTGATTAAATACTTTGGTCTTAAGATGCTGTGGATATCTTTTGTTTTTAAGAATGTAGCTTAGTTTGCCAAATGCCGCCCATGCCAGTCTAACTCGTCTCTTGATCTCTGCTGTTTGGTTCTCTTTGTTAAGTTTTATAGTTTGACCAAGATATATATATCTAATCCTGAACTTGTTCTATTTCATCTTGTCCGATTCTCATTGTGATGTCTTCATCTGTATTTGTTATAGTTTTGGTCTTGCTGTAATTCATATTAAGGCCTATCTTTC